GAGATTTTTAATATTTTCTACGCATTAAATGATTGTAATATGTATTACAAATATCCGGTCATTATAATTATTATTATTTTATCGATTGTAGACAATGGTTGTTTAATACCAAATAATTAAATTAGTAATATTTTGCCTAGATAAAATTACAAGAATACTAAATAAAAAGTGTGGAATAAATATATTTTTTTTCATTACATTTTTAAAATGTATTTCGTTCAAACATTTTTCCAATAAAAGTGCCAAACCACATATTTTTCTGACTAATTATGTGTTGGCAAAACACACATTTACTCAGTCGAGTCCATTAACACAGTACTGTATTGATAAAATCGTTTCCATTATAAAACGAGTAGGTATAGATAATTTCGTAATGAATGTTTTATTCAATCGAGAAGCCGGGTGACATTAATCTTTATATCATTATTGTATAGAGATTTTGCAAATAATATAAAATATTTAAGACGCGTGCAACTCTAAAACGTGTTTTTACTAACAAACGATAATTGGTACTTATGTGAAAATCTTCGACGAGTTGCAAAATAATTTATTCATATCGTGAGCCAATAAAAAGTATGTTCGGTTCGGTGGTCAATTTGCCATACATTTTGCTCGTAAAAAATACTTTTAATTCATTTTTTTTTCACTATAGTATGTGCCTTATCTGCAGTGATTAACAACATGAATAATTTATGGTAACGTCGTTATAATAATGTAAATACTTGGAAGTGCCAAACGCCATCGAGGCCCAAACAATAATAATCGGGAACCAATGTTGTGCGTACTGTTGTCGACGGCTCTTGGTTTTCAAAAACCGTTTTACCCGGCACAAAGTATGCACTCAGAATTTCACACCTGACGTGTAAGAATCCATTTATAATAATAGACACATCTATGGGCGCAACTAGAGTCCGAATATTGGAGGTGGTAAAATAAAATAAAATGGTAATTAACTATAATCACTAAAGAATTTATAGATCTGAAAAAAACAGGAGTGCTACATTTGAACTTAGGGGTCCTAAAAACCCTATTACGCGTCCCTAGTTGCGCCTATGGACACATCCGAAAGATAAGTGAAGATCGGGCATGAATATTTCTCATAAACGTCTGATAAAACGTAAGCACTTAAATCTAAGACATATTATGTCTAACGATACGCGATTTGCTTGCATAAAAACTTTATTAAAATATAATGTAAGCTACTGAGATTTGCTGTAAACTGTAAACTTCTTGAAAAATGTGACAGGACCTTTGTATACAACCGGCGAAGACAATGACGTTTTCATGCAAGTGCACACATTTACATCGGATATGTCGTAATATGATTAATAATCATTGATTATTATTGGCGAAATGAGTTTCAACGGAAATCGTTTTTAAAATAATTCGTTTCGACCGTTGTCTTGAAGTTCAAGAAAATCCAAAGAAAAAAAAAACTCTACTGTAATATTATTGTAAATAACCGACAAACCGAATAAGTTTAATAATATTATCTAATTTAAATATCAAACCAATATCGCTATCGTTACAAGAAATTACGAAAAAATAAAACGTTCCGCGGGTGACATCGCTGTCGTCGGGCTGTGAACGAAGTTGTTCTTCAGTGATTGTCATCAAGGGAAATAAGCTCTCACTACAGTCTCGAAGACTTTTTTTCCTACCATCTACCACCCTTTCCCCCCGTCGTAGCTCAAGTCGATTAAATGTTTTCCGTTTCTCGGTATTTACACCTCAGCTCCGTCTTCAATCGTTCTAGTCGAACGGCCGTTCAATTTTATTGCGACGTATCTAAAATTGTTCCGGCCGACGGTACTTGAATACAAAACAACGCGATAAAACAGACTGAATGTGATTAATACATATTGTGATCAAATGGCTTTATGCGTGACACGGAGTTGTAGCTAACGCGCAAAAGAGAGAAAAAATATTGGAACCTTAAAGACATTTGTAACGCTTTGGCACTTTGGCCTTTGTATTCCTATATAATTTACCTTTTGCCGCATTACAAACGGTCGCAAACAGCTCACGAACTGTGCGATGTTGGTTTCAGAAATTATGATTTTGATTTTTCGTATGTACTTATGGGGTACTATCGGTAATATCACAAAGTTTATATCTAATTTGAATTATTTATATAAATGTAATCATTAAAATTTAAAACGGAATTATCTAAACATTTTTTTTTTAATAATTCAATAAATATACCGACACATATTACAAGTAAGAGTCTGAAAAATGTGCGACGTGCATCTCGTCGTATAATTATAAATGAAAATAAAATAATAAATTATTATCTATTTCTACACACGTTTTGGTTATTATGTATACGCGGAATACGAGCAGGACCGGTGTTAGGGGGAGGCAAATGGAGAATTTGTCTAGGGCCTCGCGCTTAAAATTTTCATTAAAAAATATTTTGTACGGATATCTCATAAAATAAAACATGAAATGTGTGGATTGCTTGGCGAGTGCGATTTATAGAGAAATCCGTTGGCATGTAATAAAAAACCAATTAACAAAACAACAATATTATATTTAATATGTCATGTATGCATTAACGACGACCCGTGGGTACGGCATGCCGCACAATATGGAAACCGGGATACATAAGAAATTTATTTTATCTCATTTCTTAAATTTAATCAGTTATTACCCGATATCGCATGCAGCTGCCACCAAGTCTGATTACATGTTATCTGCAGATGACTATTGTCGTGGGTAAAATAAGTTTTACCGAGGGCCTCACAAAAGGTAACGCCGGCCCTGAATACGTGTCCCGCGGATAGCAACGCATCACTTATGATTAGGGCTCGGAAGTTGATGACCTAAAAACATAAAAAAATTACCTAAAATTATATGCAAATATGACATAAAAATGACACTAAATGTCCTTAAAATATGATGTAAAAAAATTACAATTTCAATATTTCAGGGGTGGCTATTGCCTTCCCAAACTACCCCTTTAAATACGGGTCTGCGTGAAACGATTACGTTCACCCGAAGCCAATCGTAATCGGTTGGATGCGTGCGGAAGGATCCGGCTGGGAAATCGTGTACCGCAAAACGTTCGGGTGACACGTACGGTCAGCAACACGCTGAGGGCACCGGTCGGAGGATCCGTTAACGCAAGTGGTGGCCGACCCGCGAAGACGTTTGACGCGGCCGGTTACATTTTTTTTTTAAAAAACAAAACAAGATATTAAAAAAAAGTGAAATGATTATGAAATTTTTTTTATTAAATTTATTAATTTTATTTTCGAGGGTTGAAAACAGACACAACCCGTGCGCTTAAAACGTGGTACCGATCAAATGAACGCGTGTTGTACCCACCTCGTTCCGTAATCTTTTCGCGGCAGTCGATAAAATATTTGAAAACAAATCCAATGCGCATACCGTCGTCGTGTTCACCTACTGCGCGTAACGAATCAATTAAAAATCTAAATATAAAATAATTGTTGGATCGATATCATTCGTACTCTTATGTTCGGTGGCCCGGTCACCGTTGTTTACCAAAAGCGGCCGGCCGGGGAAAAATGTCTGTCGTCGCCGACCGACCTGGCCGAACGAATAGGGTTCGATTGGACCCGTTTCCGATCCGACAAATCGGAAGAAAAAAAAAATCGTGTATATTATAGGTAGTGGCTACATTTATCAGTTTCCGACGTATTGGCACTAGTCGGATACATCGGTCCTAAAACAAATGTATTTGTTTTTCTTCCGACGAGTCGGATCGGATCGGAAACGGGTTGTAGCCTTGTCGGTCCGAGCAAACGGTGTGACGATATAATTCGAAGTGGAGTTCCCACGGCCGTATCGGCATGTGGTCAGCTCGGGTCGGGGGAGGGAGATACGTGATATGCAAATGGGCCGCCGTGGAGCGCGTTTCGCGAGTACCAATGGACAGACGTACTGAGTGGGTAAAAAATGTCTAGTTGTAGTCATGGCGGTGGTAAATTGGCCCGTAGTGAAAATAATTCCTGTTTACGCCACTACTATCGATCGTGATTGATTTGTTCCCACGGCTTGAGCCGGTGCGACGCAACGGGCATGCGCGAGTGTCACGGGTAAGTTTCGCGGAAAGAGATACACCGCGGTGTACGTCGGCCGATGTCCGTTTCGGCTGTTCGTACTGGAGCTCAGCGCGGTCCGTTTTTTTTTTTTTTAAATCATTTGGAACGCACTGAAAAAGACCGACATTTAAAAATAAGAAACACGATGAGCTGTTTCGGCGTCCCGAAACATAATCCGAGTTGAAATAATATATTACCATGTAAAATCATATTAAACTGTTGGTCAAAATTAAGATCGTTTTTATCTTATCGAAGGCGGCGGATTTTTTTTTTCTAGTCAAGGGGAACCGGAACGAACCATATTAAATTGAAAAACACTAATTCCGAAAAAGACCGGACCAAGCAGAGCTCCAGTTTATAGGTCAACGTCGGTATTCAACGTTTATCGTGTTTAAACTTTACGTGATACATTCAGAAATTAACAGGGCCGGCTCAAGGTATAGACGAGCTAGGCACCTGCCTGGAGCGTCACTTTATTAGGGACGGCATTCTCAAAATTAACTCCTACATTTTTTTAGTTCTATCGGTGTTGTATAAGAAAAATATTTAAATCCATTCATTCGTGAAAACCACTTACCTTTATAATAAAATAATATTGTCTAAAGTTATTATATTATTTTATATTACAGACTACGCTGGGCGTTTTCAATCATTCCAAAAATATAAATAACCATGGTTATTGTGTGCACACAATCATCCAATTATTATCATAAAATGTGCGATAGTCACGATGATAGTGATGGGTTTTGAGTAATAATTAGTAATAATTATAGAAATCATTTTTAAGTTTTTTCACATATAATTTTATACATAAAGTAAGAAATTACAATTTTTTTTTATGTAGATATGTCACATAAAAAATAGGGAGAAGAATAAAGTTAAAATAAGAGCTCAATTTTTTTTTTTTAGAGGCGGTAAAATTTTATTTTGCCTACTGTACTATTTTTGCTTGGGCTGATTCTGGAAATGAATCAAGTAGGGTGTGCAAATGCGACTCGTTGGATTAGGTTAGTGTTGTAACAAGGAATAATAAAAAAAAAGAAGATACAAGAAATGTTTTTGCAGAGACATGCGATGTCGTGGAATAGGTAAGTTACTTTAAAATTACCTTTGTATTTTCAACTAGATGTCTAAATATTATCTTCCATTTCATCCATAATCTGTTGTATAAAAACAACCTAACGGTTATATGATTATAACTTTCATGCAAAACGCATTTATTTTTATACCCTCGGATACAATTTATTAGAAATATCAATACATTCATCGGATTAGTTAAAAAATTAATGATCTCATAGGTACGTACATTTTAAAAGCTTTTAGAAGTTGAATCAAATAAAAAATGTTAACAAAGTTAAAAAATTTTAAACTTGAGCATTAATATACTTCCAATACAAAAGTAAAAATCCTGTATCTGCAACAGTTTAGACGTATATAAGGTCTTAATTATACTTAGATAAATGTAGTAAATAAATACCAAGCCGATTTATCTTGAGGATAACTGCTGCCCAAGTCTACAGGACAACGTTAATTGTTATTGTAATGGTATAGGTATTCTTCTTAGCCAATGCTTTTAAGGGAATATTCGATCGATACAATAAAATATATATTCAGTATGGTTAGTGAAAGCAAATGCATTCTTTTTTCGCTATCTCCAGATGCAAGCATGGTTGGCAATCAACATTTGTAGAAACAAGTTTTCTTTTGTAGCATTCAATGCCGATCATTAAAAAAAACACTATACTAATTACAAATTAAAAAATTAAATTAAAATAAAATCTATACTCATTTTTAATAACTTGGTTAAACTTACATTATAAAAAAATATTGTTATATCATATATATATTTTGTTGGATAAAAATGATTTTATTATCAATAATATAAATACACATAGAAAATTAAAAAATAAATAGTTATTTTCCATTTTAAAAGTTTCTTATTACACAACATAAAAAAAACCAACTATAAAAATTTTTAGATAAACAACAAAGTAACAAATGTATAAACCAGTTTTATAGTTTAAATATATATAAAAAAAAAACTTTCATCCATTTAGTATAATAATTATCTTTCACCTTATAAAAAAAATATCATATAACCAATAAATATAATTTATTATTATTTTTGTGGGTTGATTTTCTATGGATAATTTTTGAGTACAACAGGCTTCAGAAGAACAGAGATCCATGGTTATTATTTAAGCAAACACAACTATGAAATAGTTTTAAAATAAAATTTTTTTATAATTTTGATTCGGTAAGCCAAGCAAAGTTTTGAGGTTTTCGATCAGCCGATGGGTTAATCATTATGTTTATGAATGAAGGTCCACTTGTGTCCTGTAAAAACATAATTTATAATGAAAATAATGTGTTATAATCTATTACTAAGAGTATAAATTACTATTGAGTATAGTTTATAACGAAAAAAATAAACCAAATAGTTATGTCTCCATTTTTCCAATCACAATTTATTATATAAAAAGGGCAGTTTTCACTTATCAATGTAGTCACGCCTGAGAACCACAAATCAGTGTAATTTTGATTCAAAACTGATGATAGTTTTTATATTACAAAATATTTGTCTAAGTATATTTTATCAGTACCCGAAATGGTACTAGAATTGGCAGATGTAGGTTTAGCTCAAGAGTGTGCAAACCAAATTATTTCTAATTATAAAAAGAAAAGAAAAATATAGGTATAAGATTGGGTTACCAGGCGAAATATTTTAAAACATTATCAAATACATTGTTAACGGAGTTCAGAATGAATAATCAATCAGATTTCATGAACTATATGAGAATGATCGATGATCATTTTAATATTTCACTAAAAAAATTGGAAATACGAAATAAAAAACAGAATATATTTTTCCGAGAAGCAATACTATATAAGGCAAAGTTGAATATTATATTAACATATTATAAAGAAACTTGTTCAATAAATAACAATAACAAATCAATATAAAAATAAAAATAATCTCACCACGTATGAAAATTTTAATACAAGTCTGTGCTGGCAGAGCGTGTGACAAGACTTGTACAAGATAGACACAATTATGTAGGGTATGTTTATATTATCAATGTAAAATCTGTACCACTAACTTGAGGTTCTCGAACATAGCTACTTTGATAAGTGTAAATCAGCTTTCACTAATATCATAACCTTGTAAATTTATAGAATATATAACATAGTGTAAAACATTCAGTACATTGAAACAATAAAGATTCAATAAATAAAATAAAATGTTTATATTATTTTTTACTAGACTATATATTTATACATAAAAATAAGTAGTTTATATATAGAAATAAATATATGAATGCATAATCTGGAGTTTTATATGTGTAATGTACATTAATTAATTGGGTGACCCCGAATAGTTGGGAGGATGACAAAGGAGATGAAGAAAGTACATTAATTAATTATACGACCAGTTTCAAATTAAATATTCATCATCAGTAGAGCCTGGATTTATATGCATTTGCATGTTTGTACTAAGTGTATGCACATCTATGGAGGTTTAAAATGTCCAAGATTCATATCACACTGAATTTAAACACCAAATTTTATATTGTATATTTTGCACATTTCGAAGGTTATTGCATATTTGTTCATAAATTCATATAACATGCATATTAAAAGGGTTTTTAATAAATTAAAATTTATTGTATTTTTTTTTAAGTTTTAAATTTGTTTTTTTTGTTTTTTGAAATTAGGTAACTTCAAATAAAAATATAAATAATAATAAATAATAAAATATTTATTTTTAGTTTTTTTTTT